TCTTTCTGTCCTTGTTCATCATCTGACTGTCCTACACTTGGATGTCATGAAGGGACAAACAAGGAGCTACATACTTTACAAAACTGGGTACAGGTGCAGAAATGGGCTACTCAGGCGATTTAGTATCACACTTTAACAAAGTTGATCATTTCTATGATGCAGCCCAGTAGCCTAATTGATTAGTCCGGTAAATCCCCTCAGTGACCCCACTTTATATAATACTTGAAGTTTCTAGCAGCCTAACTCAAGATAAACCTGATCACAGCAAACTGACCTTGATCATTAAAATGAGTGGAGGTTATGGATGGTGTATACTGTTTGTTTGCTTGGCTGCTTTAAGATCTTGTGTGTTAGGTCGCCATGGTGATGAGCCAAATGACAGTTGCTGAGGTTTTCCAGTCCGTTTAATCTTTACTGTCTTTAACTCCTACAAGGACCTGTGGTGGATCTCTCAGCCCGGGGTATGCAAAAGCTGGATCCTAGTTTCAGCTGCTCTGAGGACACTCACACTCTCATCCTGGACCGTAACCACATAATGAAACTGGACCATCTGGAAAGGAGCCCAGGCCTTCAGCAGGTAGTTAAACCCTTTTGCACCGTTTACAGGCCTTTTAATGCCTTTTGATAAACCTTTGTCTTTTCCTCTTTAGCTATCTGTAGCCAGTAACCGCCTGGTGAGAATGATGGGCGTGTCTCGGCTGACAGAGTTGAGAGTCCTCAATCTTCCCAATAACAGTATTGGATACATCGAGGGGCTAAGAGATCTGCCACACCTTGAATGGCTTAATCTGTCTGGGAACAATATTAAGGTGAGGAGAAGAGACATTCTCACATACTTTACTGATATATCATATGGCTTTTATTTACAAAAATGTCATTGCCTAGATGAAGCCATTAGTTTTAGCCCATGTGTTAATATTTTGCATGTTTAACCGGCTGTACACTCTCTTAACACAGGTCATTGAGCAACTCAACAACTGTGTTTCCCTTCAACACCTGGATCTATCTGACAATAACATATCTACCATTGGGGATCTGACTAAACTGGTGGCATTAAAGGTGAGTGCTGGAGCCTCTGAGGCTAAACAAAAAAAGTGAGCCTAAACAAAAAATAACTATTGATGATAATATAGAGACATGGTAGAGTTTCTTTTATTAATCTCTGTCAATTTTTACAGACACTTTTAGTCCATGGAAACAGCATTACAACACTCCGCACTGTTCCTGCTCACCTACCTGCCCATTTATCCATCCTCTCCCTGGCAGAAAATGAGATAAGAGATCTTAATGAAGTAATTATCTTTTTCCTTACTTGATACAGGAGCACTGACCCCAATTTAAGTTACATAGAGGCTAATTATTAATGACTGACTTTCTTCTGATTATTCCATAGGTGTCATACTTGGCACCTCTCCATGAGCTGGAGCAGCTGTCCATTATGAGCAACCCCTGTGTTATGGCAACCCCTTCACTGCCAGGTTTTGATTATCGGCCATATATCATGAGTTGGTGCCTGAGCTTAAAGGTCTTGGATGGCTATGTAGTGTCACAGAAAGAAGGGTGCGTACATTCCTATGCTGTTACAATTTTCTAGTTAAGATTTGTGTAGGAATATTATCCAAATGTTTGAATATCTTTATTTAAAGTGTATAATTGTCTCGATTACAGTCTCAAAGCAGAGTGGCTCTACAGTCAGGGAAAAGGGCGTTCATACCGACCAGGTCAGCATGTTCAGCTGGTTCAATACCTGGCCACCGTTTGCCCTCTGACATCATCACCAGCCCTGGAGACGGCAGAAAATGCCAAACTGGAGAAGATCCTCAGTAAGCAGAGGTATAAATCTGAATTTAAAAACTACTATCATCCATTGCTCACTTCAAGGCCAGGATAAACCTGCCACACATCCTTCTTAATGGAAAATACACATCATGTTTGAACTGCCATTTTTCTCCCTCAGGTTTCACCAAAGGCAGCTGTTAGAGGAGACCCAAGGAGACTGTCCCAGCCCTCCTCGCCCAACTCAACTAGATGTAGAGAGCCACAGTCCTTCACATGCAGTTCCACAAGGTGGAGCCAAAGAGGAGAAGAAAATCAGTGCACCTGCACCAGCCGCTGCTCCATCAGCCCAGGAGACTGGTAAGAAGGCTGCTTTGTCACTCTATGGCGCAGTTGTGTTGGACATCATACATTTGTTTTTTTCTTTTTACAACTAGTTGTGATGCATTTCTTTCTTTTTTAATAATTTGAATTTCTGTTTGGTATGGCTACTTTTGTGCAGAGCCAGTGCTGCAGTTTAACACGTGGGTGAGCTGTGATTCTTCCCACCCATCATTGCCAGTAGTTCGCAGCCCAAGGCACGGAGAAGAGCATATCTGTTTGGAGGATGTGCAGACAGATGAGGACAAACTCAATAGCAGCATGCTTTCCTCGGAGTCCACCTTTCTCCCCTTCACATCTGATCTGGAGCCACAGACGACCCACTCGGACAGCGAGGACGAGACGGAGACATTTGAACCCGACTCCCTTGCTCCAAAGCGTCCATCACAGCCCAAAAAGCACAACACAAACAAGACACGTCATGTTCCCCCGGTGGATAAGCAAGAGAGGGGTCTTGAAGAGGAAGTTATTTCTGGTGCAGCCACAACAGCTGGATCACAGGAGGTCAGAGTTAGCACACCACCAAGTGATCTAGAAGCACCTGCTGACTTTGGAAAAGCAGAGATGAAAGAGGTCTCCATGCAGCAAGAAGCTGGTATGTGTGGCAGTAAATCATGTTTGATGGAAGCAGACAAGGCGGCGATTACAATACAGTCGTGGTGGAGGGGACAGCACACTCGGTGTTGTCACCCCATGGCCAAAGAGGTGCGCAGTGAAATCCGTCTCCGTAGGATGCAAGAACACATCCTCTTCCTGTCTGAAAAGTTGGACAGGTAACTGACCATCAGTACTATTTGTTTTCTGTTTTACTTATGATATGATGAGAAACGGTGTAGTTAAACTAACATTACATATGGTTGTGCTATTTAAATATACATTCTCCAGTATTTACTGGTGTACTAATAGGTAAAATGGAATTGGTTTGCAGGGTGCAGCAGCAGTATGAAGAAGAGAGGTTACAAAGGCTGGTTCAGGAGGAAGCTGTAAAGTTTCTGTGGAAAGAGGTCAGTGATTAAGGTTGTCATTTGTCATTGCACACATTCACCATGACTCATGATTTGTGTGGTATAATATTGCTCTCCTGTGGTCTCCTGTTTCCTACAGCCACACTGTGAGGCTGTACTTGGTTAAATGCTAATGCTAACATGGAAATATGTCCACAGTGACAATATTAACATGCTGATATTTAGCATGTTTAATTTTTCCAGGTATTTGGTCACAAATTACTAGACAAATTAAGATTTTGACCTGGAGACTAGAGGAAATGTTAAGGGATCATAGTTAATTGCAGTTTCATCCTGAGGAGGACACAAATGTACTAAATTTCACAGCAATACAAAAGCATTTCACTCAAAATAACAAATGCCAACCACGTGGTGGCGCTAGAGGAAAAGTCATTAGGATTCATCCTCTGGGAACAATGAATGTCTGGACAATTTTTTAAATTGTTCATGGCACACACGGTTTAAATTGTCTGTTACTGGCTCTCCAACATGATTCACATAGCTGCTTCATTAGTTTAACACGTTTCCTGTGTTCTCCTTGTAGCTCCAGTCTATGCAGCAGTGGAAGCAGTCTGTGGAGCAGCAGCTGGCCTGCATTACTCAGGCTGTCACCCCAGCTCAGATCTCAGCTCCCAGATTATGTGAGGCTGCTCCGCCTGTTGCATCCAGCACGACGAACCCACCCAGCACAGACGTCTCTTTCCCAGACTCTGGCTTCCAGTCAACAAGTGATCAGCTGGCAGCGCAGGAGGACAGCTTCCTGAGCAGCGGGACAGCAGACTCTCTGAAGACGGTGCGAGCATTGAGTCCTGTTCGTAGCGACTTTGCTGCTGCTAGCGATGGCGTGGACAGCGCAGACTGCAGCCTGCTGGAGCAGTACCTCTCCTCTGTACAGCAGAGGGAGGAGGAGGCTGAGGAGGTGATCAGCGATAGAACACAAACGCCACAGCCCTCCTCGCCAGTATCACCCAGCAAAACGGCACAGTCCAACTCCCCCCCGCAGAAGGTGGCAGACAACCAAAAAGAAAGAATGGAGGAAACCACACCTGGCCCTGTCTGAGAGTTTACACGTGATAGACCCATGTACAGAACTACTGAGTGTGTACGGCACTGACCATAGGAGTGAGATGCACTGCTCCCTCTAGAGCGTCTAGGCATGATTACTGATTTCAAATTACAGTGCACTTAGTTTCCTTTGTTTATCAAGACTGAACTCATGACAGGCTTGAAAACACCTTACTGTGAATGTAACTCACTTTTTTATACTTCACTCTTTTAATCTGTTTTGTTATTTAATGGAAACTTTCCTCTCTGTGTAAAGACAATGATTGTGATGTAGCTTCAGAAGGTATTAGTCACTCGAAAGCAATTATTTTATATTAAATACAGCGAGTAGGTTGCTACCTCTACTGAAGACATGGTATAACCTATTCTCTTTATCAATATCCAGTAATACATTAAGCACATGGAAATAAACTACAGTTAATCAGTTAGGAGTTGATATGTTAATCGTAGTGCACAAACCACAGATATACACTTTACATGGAACAACAAGCATACTATCTACTGTGTTATCACATACAGTGTTAATATAGTGGAACTGTTTTTATCAACTTTAGATAACCTGAAAATGTTGTAGCATCTTTATCTTCGTAAAAACTGCTAATAAATCAGCAATTATTGTTTTCCAATGATTGTTACTTGTATTCATATTATGCTGAATATTGTAGGAAACATGGCTACAGCTAACAGTTGTTCTGATTATCAAGTCATTTCATTATTTCACAGATTGTCACAGAATTCTTTAACAAACAAGTGATGTCTTAATTAGGCTTACTAGCAGTGGACACACCTGTTTTCTATATCAGTAAGGAGAGTGAGCAATGCTATCCATCTATCATTTAGGATACTGATTACGCCTGTGCCTTTCATCCTATAGACGTCAAACTGCCTCATGTAAAAAAGGTATATCGCTCAAAATATTAGATTAGAGTCGCTTATTAATGGACAAATATACCATTTTCACAGCAGCCATTTTGACTTGAAATAATAAACACGGGTGTTAAATATGACTCTAATTAAGGTTCATTTCCATTTAGTGTAGCAGAGCCTTTTACAGTGAGCCACTCCACTGACTCTGGACGGACCCCTCATTAGTACCACTGGTTACCTCACTGTTTAATGCTCTCATACTGAAACATTAATAACTGAATGGTTGTAACTGTTCTCCATGTCCGTTAGCTGCATTACACCGTGGCTCCAGGCTGTTAATGCCCCCTTTCATGCGGTTAACTTTTAAATTATTGACCACCAGAGGACGCAGTAAGACTCATTCGCCCATACACCCTCCTCCCCCAGTACCACCCTCACCCCCGGTACTATTTTCCTCCCATCATGATTACCGGGAGGTCTGTTTTATCTACAAACCGTCTCTGGTGTGCATCCCCACCGTCCGCTGCTGCCTCCTTCTCCCCGGCCAACCGCCACCCTCCTCCGGCTGTCTAACGGTCCGACATGCTAATGTGTCGTCGTAATGTGTAAGTAGAGTAGCATATAGCTAAAACGCCTGCCATCACCGATGTCACCGTTAGCCAACAGGGCTGCGCTTGTTTGAATTATATCAGTAAATGTGTTTCCACCATTTTTATTGAACATTATCATCCGTCCGTTGCTTTGTTGCTCGCTCTTGCGTCATTGCAGCCGGTCATATGATAGAAGCAGCGGACCGTTAGAGAACAAGAACCTGACCGTTATGTTTAACGTCTTAAGATGGAAGATTCTACTGAACCGTTAGAATGTTTACAGTCAGCACCGCCATTGTTAGGAGGAACTTGAAAACGCAGCGGGGTCTGGAGTCTATACATGCCCCAACCCCCCCTTAGTTAACTACTGGCTGCCTATGGTATATGTTTCTTGATCCTGTAGACACTCAACAACAGAGCTGTAACTTCAGACTACACCCAGTACTCACAAACAGGTCTGTCCGAGGGCATTTATTAGTTTCTGACTCTGGGAAAGTGGAGAAATTAATACAATCACCTGTTCTACACCTGTTGTGAACAATGGATGCCTTTATAACCCTGAATAGAGCCAGTTTTCTGTTTGTTCATCCTTCTCGTTCACAGCGTTCATTCATCTGCATCAGGCGCTGAGGGTGAAATGATGCCATCATCACCGTGGTGACAGCACAGAGTCAAACAGGGCCTGATCATGGGAGACAGAAGGAGGTCACCATGTGCCGAAATCTCTCCAAATATGCCCTCGTCTTCATCGTCCTAGCCCTGTCTGGTCTCATCTTCCTGCTGCGCAACATCCACACTGTGGAGGTGAGGAGAGAAGTGGGTTACACAGAGGTTTTAATTGGTGTGTAGGGTAACTGATCCCCGTGTGTGTTTTTATCTGGCAGTCATGTGTTCGTGGTCACATCTCCTGCAGCACATGATTAACCCCTCCTCCCTTTCTCTTCAGAACTGGAACTGCCACACTATTTCAGCCCTCTACCAGCTCCAGAGCAGGATCCAGTCGTCCTTCATCCAAGTGAATCTGCCTACTTTTTATCACAACCGCACCTTCTGCGCCCATCTGGGCCAGAAACCCTCCCCTGAAGATGAGCTGGAAGAGCGCTACCTGTTGGACTCTATCTCCTGGCCCGGGCCTCCGCCTCGCTCCACACCAACCACCCTGCGCCAGACAAGTGACCCCATTCACAGCCTGTTCGCCATCCTTCCCACTAACGAAGGAAGAGAATGGCATGTGGGCGACCAGCTGGAGGCCCTCGTCCAAATGCATGACTTTCAGGGTCGTCCCAAGCGCTACGGTGGGGATTTCCTTTTGGCCCGACTGCACTCCCCCGAACTTGGAGCGGGTGTAGCAGGTAAGGTTCTGGACCACAGAAATGGATTTTACTCCGCTCTGTTCCCGCTCCTTTGGGTCGGGTCTGCACAGATTGAGGTTACTCTGGTGCACTCAAGTGAAGCCATCGCCGTGCTGCGACGGCTGAGGGAAGAACGGCCTGACCGCGTGTTTTTTAAGAGCCTGTTTCGCTTGGGCTTCCTGTCTGAAACTACTGTGTGCAACATGTGCCTGCCCCCTGATCAGCAGCCCCTGTGCAACTACACAGACCCATACACAGGAGAACCCTGGTACTGCTACAAGCCTAAGGTGCTCAGCTGCGACACCAGAATCAACCACGCCAAAGGAGGCTATCTGAAACACCTCATCACCAACAAAGAAGCATTGCTCTTCCAGAGGTTTGTACTCAAGTAGGATGAAGGAAATATATCTTGATATTATATATAGACTAAAACCAACAATACATTCATTTGACTAACAAGTTCAGCCAAACTGATATAGATTGTTCCTCTGTACTGTAGTTATACTCCAGTGTTATAAACTGAACTATAAACACAGAAAGGAGCCACAGTGTAGCACTGGGTAACATTTATTCTGTATTATTATGAACATGGACACTACGGTTTACTGCAATCCATCCAACAGTGGTTGAGATGTTTCACTCAGAACCACAAATGTGAACCTCGTGTGGGCACTCGAGGAGAAATCAAAGTCATTAGGATGCCTCCTGTAGAGATCATGCATGTTTCAGCAATCTGTTTACTTGTTGTAAATATTGTTGTAATATTTCAGTTACTGACTGACTGACCCAACCTAGAGCCATACTGCTAGAATTACTGTGGTTCATTTTGAGTCAATCACACTGTCCCAAATTAATTAAACCGTGACCTGTTTTTAATGATTTACGTGCTCAGTAGGAGCTGCATGGATTGGCTGGGGTTAGCTGCTGACAGTATCATCACCAGTTTTAACCCGATCAACTCTGTTTCTTTGATCTCAGCGGTGTAAACATAAAAGTTCGCATTCATGCTTCAGGCCCCGACAGGATCAACGTGCTGCCTCCCAGGAAAGGTACAGTATACCTGCAGAGTTTCAGTTTGTGCGTGGTGTCGCACTATGTGTGCATGCTGTGATTCATTCCATTTAATTAACTTTGTCTGCAACATTTCTCGCTTTGTATCAGATAAAGTAGAGGTAGAAAGCAGCAGTATAAAACCAGAACCTATTAAGCTAGAACCATCTGGATATTACTACGAGGACTCATGGAGGCCATTAAGTGGCGTTACAATGCGCCAGTTCAATGAATCATCTGCCATCACTCAGTGTTTGAAGAACAAGGTGATCAACATGTACGGAGACTCTACCGTCAGGCAGTGGTTTGAGTACCTCATTGCTTTTGTACCAGGTGAGTGCGTCTCTGCGTCTCCTCTTTTATTTTTTAAATGTCGCCTTGTGTATCTCTCCCACCGTAACCTCCATTTATTCCACCTCCCCCAGGATTAAAAGAGTTCAACCTGCACAGTCCTAAAAACGTCGGGCCTTTCATGGCGGTGGACAGCACTCACAATATTCTGGTGAAGTACCGCTGCCATGGCCCGCCCATCCGCTTCTCCACCGTCATGTCCAGCGAGTTGCGGTACATTTCAAACGAGCTGGACGGCCTCTCCGGGGGTCCCAACACCGTCGTGGTCCTCAGCATTTGGGCCCATTTCAGCACCTTTCCCATGGAGGTGTACATTCGGCGGCTCCGTCACATCAGGCGGGCGCTGGTGCGACTTCTGGACCGAGCACCAGGGACCATTGTTGTGATCCGTTCGGCCAACCTCCAAGCCCTGGACCAGGAGGTGAGCCTGTACAACAGCGACTGGTACTCCCTGCAGCTGGACGAGGTGCTCAGGGCCATGTTCAAGGGCCTCAACGTCCTGCTGGTGGACGCCTGGCAGATGAGTTTAGCGCACCACTTTCCTCACGCCCTGCATCCACCTCCAGCCATCGTCAAGAACATGATAGATATGCTTTTGTCGTACGTTTGCCCAGAGAAGAAAAGGAGCCAGCGGATATAGAGGGACAGTGCTGTTGTGGAAGTTTACTGTATGAATCCATTAATCAGTCAATCAAGTCCCAAACATGTTTTTTTTTTTTTTTTAAGAATTTAAGTGTTCTCCAAAGCTGTATACCCTTTAAATGCTGTCTTTACTGAGAGATTTGACTTCTAGTGCTGATCTCTGTTTACTTGCCTGTTATGTTTTAATTTTGAACAAAGCAAAATTTACTCTGAAAAATGCCAAAGACTTTGGCAAAGTGATTGTTGCTACCCATCTGTTTTTGTTACCAAAGTGTTTTGAGTGTGCCCATATCCGGTGTCAGTATTCTTTGTTAAGGTGGATTCGTGTTTAGGTTTGTTTGTCAGTTTTGCCAAAGCCGAAGACTCGACGAGTTCTCGTTTCTAACCCTCAGGCTGTTCAGTGTTACAATGTGTTCTTATGTTGACCACAGAATGACAAATGAAATACAGCTTTTCTGTTACTACAAACTACCACATAGTACGCAAACTACATTGTTTTTAAATCCTTATGTGTGCCCAATTTAGTTTATAGCTTTAAATGTTATTTCAGGTGTTGTAACAGACAAAAGGTAAATGGTAAAAGCAGCTGCATTTGTAGCACTCCTCTCATTCACACACACACACGCACACACCAATGACATGCAGCTTTCATGTCCTCAGACATCACTTTAAACCTGATTGTAACCTGGTTGTACTCGTTTTTTCTTTCGGGTCCCTCCACATTGTTTCACTTGACTTTTAGCCGGCGACTTCTCCGACTGACGGATCGGCCTCTCCGCCTTTCAGACTCCAACTTTCACACAGTTTTGGTGAAACGTGTGTGTGTGTGTTGATTTGATGCTCGACCTTTGCGTACATTTCTAACAGTAGCTCTTTTGTATAAACCTTTGTATTGCTAAAATAATTTTCTTCTTATGTTGAATTTTAATTCTAGATGATTTATATTGACATTTGAGAATTAATTTAACATGATCAAATACTGTTGTCACATGTCCATCATAGGAAGAGCGTTGAAGTAATCAGGTCTGTGTGATACAAAGAGAAAATGTGCCTATATTTCTGTCTAACTCTGTTTGTCCCTGGCAATGATCAGAGGCTGACTGAAGAGACTTAGTCATTGCTTATAAGAGCTGCTGTCATATTTGCCAGTATTTGCTATTGTCAAATGTGTGCTTTTCTAGCTGTAACAATGAGCATGACTGTAGAAGCAATTGTCAGTAGTACTCGAGTAGTAAAAGGAGGTTTGTGATGGCGCAAGGTGACGTATCTATAACATATTTACATCACTAAATGGGGCGCAGATCATTGTCAGTATTTAATCATTTTATCATGCCGTTCCCTGATCTTAAAGCCTTCGGTCCAGTTCAATTAACTAAACTAAAGAGTCATTGATCAGTCTCGTGTGTTGAGTTAAAAGACATGCTTTCCACCGTATCTCTCCTTCCTACATGGTCAAGTTAAAAGAGGTTTCAGACGGCTATATGATGAGTCAGACTGATCTGAATAAGCTCAAAGACGCTAGCATAGAAAGATGCAACTATTGTATCTTTTTATCTGACTTTACACACTAACATACCTCTGTTGGAGATGTTTTCTTATTTACTGTCAATGTAATTGTTATCAAGGTAATGGGCAAATACAGGACATCATTGTGATGCTTTGTAGTTTGAAAATAAAGGCAATCAAACAAATGAAGGTATGATATCACCTGTAAGTTTAAAGGTGCACAGTTTACCAACACGCAGCCTTCAAGTTCATATTTCACATTGATTGTATGGTATCATGTTGCTGAGTAATATGGAAATATTTTGCTTAGAGAACCACAACATCTGTTGTGGTTGATAAGCTTGCATCAGTGGTAGATATTTACAGTTTAATGTTTCAAGTGCAGCAGATTTCAGAGAATTTAAAAATGGTTGTTGGTCTTAAAGCCACAGATTTGATATTAAATAAAGTGCACAATGGCTGCATTTTATGTGTGTGCTTTCTTTCTGGGAAAGTATAGAAAGAGGGATGGAAATGCACTGGATATAACGGTGGGTCAGAACATCTAAATGTGCAGTGAGAGGGATTTCACCACTCACTACATTTAACTTCATTACATCAGTGGCTGTTCAGTGAGCTGTCTGCACAATAATGTTCAAACATGGCAAAATGCCATTAAATGTTTGGTAAATGAAAGACAAATATTATTGCATGAATTCTTTGAGTATTAGTAGCTGTCCAAAGCTTTCGGTGCTGTCAGTGTCATGAAGAGAGCAACATTTCTACTTAAAACTGACTAAAAACATGTATGAAAACTCATTTCACCTATATAATTATATCTCATTCCCTGACTGTGGGTATTTATAAGCTGCTGTAACAGCCTTCACTCTTGGCTTTCCACCAGCGTTTAGGACCCGTCTGCAGGGATTTGCTTGTATTCAGCCACAAAGGCCTCGAGTGACGTTGAGCACTGATGCTGGGCGATAAGAGCCTGGCTCACAACTTCCAATTCCTCCTTAAGATGAAAAGGCCCAACAGCAGTACACTGTAGCTTTAAGATTTCCCTTTATTGCAATAAAGAGGCCAAACCCTGACACACATCCTCAGGACTAAAGTACAGCAGTTAACTGAACGTCACTACAAAGGTTCACTGAGTAGGAATCATTTTTACTACTCTGATTTTACTAGTTTGTGACTTAACACTGATTTAAAATATAATCCAAGAGTTTAGGAGCAAGAAGAGGGAAACTGAAATCCCAACACACCCATTCTTGCAGCTGCATCTTTGCTTTGTTCTTCTTCCTGTCAGACCGTGTGTATGAAAAAGAGACTGACTCATACATTCAGGCCATGATTTACACATTTTAAATCCCCTCTCTTTCCCCCTATCCTGCACTATCAAATAATGGCCAAATAGGGGATAAAAAATGAGCAGCTATCAAAAAATAATTGCAGATGTCATATTTTAATATTTTAAGCAGCCGGACCAGACTCTGTTTCTCCATCTACTCTGAAGCACTGTGCTGATCAGCTGTCTCCGGTGTTCACAGACATCTTCAACACCTCACTGGAGACATGTGCCAGCCTGCTTCAAAGCCTCCACCATTATCCCCAAAGAACCAAAGACCCCAGGACTCAGTGACTACAGACCGGTCGCTCACCTCTGTGGTCATGAAGTCTTTTTATTGCCGTTTTTGTTTTTTTATAAATTGATATTGACAGCTGAAGATAGACAGGAAAGGGGGGTAGAGAGAGGGGATGACACACAGCAAAGGGCCGCAGGTCGCATTCGAACCCACTCGGTACATGGTCGCCAGCTCTACCAGGGGAGCTAATGCTCATGAAGTCTTTTGAGCTGCTTTTGCTTTCCCACCTCAAAGCCATAACGGACCCACTCCTGGACCCCCTGCAGTTCACCTACAGAGCCAACAGGTCTGTAGACGATGCAGTTAACATGACCCTGCACTTCACCCTCCAGCATCTGGGCTCCCCAGTAGTATTGTTGAATTTTGCCCAGTTGTGGCCTGTTGAGGGGCAATAAATATCAAAAGTTCCAAAACATCTATTGTGTTATTTGTATCGATTCACTATATAAACATAATATCTACATACATGGCATTTGATTGGAGGCTAGTCTCACTTTGTCCCACAGCAACATTAAAATAGTTTAGATATGTGTACATTGTTTCTGTTAATAATGTATTAAGTGTCCATTTCATTATAATATTCAGATTTATCATAAATAATTGAACATGCACATATATTTTAAGTTCCATTAAAGAGGGCTGGAGGTGGGGTCACATTTGAGCATTTAAAAATGTACTTGAAAGTAACGCAATAGTTACTTTCTGAAGTAACTAGTTACTTTTATAATTTGTAACTGAGTAACTAATTTAGTTACTTTTTGGAAGAAGTAACTAGTAACTGTAACTAATTACTTTTTAAAAGTAACTTGCCCAACACTGGAGGCAACACACACTGCGAGCTAACTATCAGGCTGGTATTTGGAGAAGATGTTTAGAAAAGGACCCACAAGTGCCAAGCCCTGTTGGCAGAGGATGGAAGATGGAGACAGAGGAGGAAGGTGAACAGTTGGTGCTGCACTGGATGGAAGGCCGGCCAGCACCTGAAGCTCTCCTGGATCTACTCGCCTGCAACTGCACAAAAAAATGTTCACTCGATGTATGTGTCTTACAAATGGCCTCAGGTGCACAGACGTGTAAACTGACAAAGTGTGAAAACCAGGCGACCTGTGTAGAAAGTTCAGATTAAGACGAGGACGACATGGAGAATGATGATGATAAGATAATAAAATAATGGATATCAACATACAAACCAGTCTTTGATTAAATATATTCACTTTACAATCTGTTTCTTTATTGACTTTTACAACTAATAGGGCTCCATCCTATTTGTCCATTCTATTTGCTCTATTCTATTTTGAAGACTTGTGCTAGCTGCACAAGTCTAATTTAAGGCTCTCACAAATAAATAGTATGGGTATATTATACATTTTCTGAATCATCAGAGTGCCTTGAGTATTGAAGTTGTTGAGTTTTGTGTCCCTGATGTTCCTTCATGCCCCAGGGATAAAAGAAAGCATACAGTTTAGGCGGAAATTGTGAGAAAATGTGTGTTATTTCTGGTTTAAAGAAGTCATGTGACCTCTGTATTTGTCAGACAGATTCAGTACTGGGCTTAAATGAATTTCCAACAATACCACGCACCATATTATAGAATATTGACAATATCCCTACCATGAGCCTAAACCAGATATATACCAGATTACAAAAACGGAATTTATCTTAGGGGGTTAGTAACTTCATGAGCTGAAAAAAGTGATTTCGCTATCACCCCTGCACTACTATCGTGATTTTTCTAGTACTAGGGCTGTATACCTTGCCAAAAATCACTATGAGACTTTGTCCCCCCAGATGATACCGATGGCCCAAATTTGGGGCCCTGGCTCATGGACGACAGGAACCTTTGCCAGGATCCTGTTTGTGGACTTCAGCTCTGCTTTCAACACCATCATCCCAGCTCTGCTACAGGACAAGCTGCAGGTGGATCACAGACTTCCTGTCTGACAGGAAATAACAAGTGAAGCTGGGGAAAAATATCTCTGACTCCCAGACCATCAGCACCGGATCCCCCCCAAGGCTGCGTTCTTTCTCCTCTGCTCTTCTCCCTGTACACCACCAGCTGCACCTCCAGTCAGCAGTCCGTCAGGCTCCTGAAGTTCACGGATGACACCTCCCTCATTGGGCTCATCTCATCTCTGAGTCCGCCTACAGATGGGAGATTGACTATCTGGTGACCTTTAGGAGGAACCCAGCCCCACCCAACCCCATCATCCTGTGTGACTCCCCAGTTGACTCTGTGGAGTCCTTCCGCTTCCTGGGTACCACCATCACCCAGGACCTCAAGTGGGAGCTGAATATCACCCCAGTCTCCCACCCCAGACACAGACTCTTTGAAACACTTCCCTCTGGCAGGAGACTGCAGTCCATCATTTCTTCCGTCTGCAGCTGGCCTCATTAACAAGGCCCGGAACCCCCACTGACACTGACTCTTAAACCCACCCTGTATACATACGTTACATTAATACACTGCCATTGGTTTTTCTATCTTGCACATTGTAAATATCATTCTTGTTCAGCTTTAGATCTTTCTATCTTTATTTACAGTATATTTAAAGAGTACTTGTTTTTTATGTGATTCTCACACACCAATGCACCAAGGCAAATTCCTCGTATGTATAAAATCTTACTTGACAATAAACCTGATTCTGATTTTCTTAACAATTTTATTCCAAAAGTTCCATCATGTTCCCTTTGAAAACCTCAAGCATATCTCTCAGCACTAAAGCAGAGCATCAGTAACTTTGGCAAAAATACAACAACAGGCAGAGCTCTGTAGAAAACTAAAGGAAAACACACCCATTGTATACAAAAAAACTTCCTGATGGTGAAACTCAATCCCCCAACAATCCCTCCTCTGAACACATTCAAAGACAACAGTAGTGTCTCCCATCAGGATTGACTGAGTCTCACAGGGAAGCAGACATACAGGAAATTCTGGAGTGTTTTCAGTCCTGTGTACAGGTTAAACCATGTGCAGACGGACAGGAGTGGAAAATATGAAGAAGCAGCTACAGGGATGAGCTAAGTGTGGCTTCTACGACAGCTCTGATACCCAGCTCACAAATCTAGAGGTTGTAACTCTTCAAATGGAGCAGTGATGTCCTGAGGTCAAACAGAAAGAGGCACTGAGAGTTTCTGTTCATTTTTTTCATTCTTTTTTTTAAGCTTCAAAATGAGTCCTCTGTTTATTCGTGTCAAGACAAGATAAAGCATTGTGCGTTACTGTGAGCCGCTGCTTTGTTTTGAATGCACTGGCTATGATTCATCTCTCAGAAACTTCAGCTTTTGGATCACTGCGAAAATCCAGTGGAAGGAGTGTAGTTTAAATTCTAGAGGTCGTGCTTATGATTTCTGATATGATGCTGTCATGCAGCTATAAAATATTCTACTCAAGTCGGACCATCAATCAGGTACAGATTATTGATACAACGTACACTGACAAAACTTTTAAAAAGTACAGCACTGTGAGAGGATAAAGAATTGTACTTAACACTCATAGAGACTCATAGAGAATGTTTGTTTTGACATCTAAATCATAATGGCCACTGTCCATTTGAAAGGGGAGCAGAGACTTACTAACATTTATAAAGAACAAAAGAAATTAACAAACTAAAAAGGTCATTGGCAACATTTTGCAGAACTTGTACGTGACACCACGGCAGCATATTAAGTTTAGAGAGAGAGACGGTCAGGATCACACGTCCTGGACGTTCATGGCCTCCTGTGGCCAGCTGTATGTGTCCAGAGTGAAGGAGTCGTAATCAGGACTGTAGATGTGAGACAGCACAAACGCCTCCTTGTCTTTAGGCTCGGGGTACAGGGAAGCAGTGTTGTGTTTGTATGCATAGTTGACAATCTGGCAGAGAAGGAAACAGAAGGAAAAGTGGTAAAGAATACAGTCACATACAGTCGGTTCAAACTTCTATTTTTAAAAGGCCCTGAAAATGTATTTGTTTACTATCTGAAGTTAAAACCGCCTTTGTTTATTTCACAGGAGGGATTTCTCAATTGGCTAGTTTAAAGTGGGCGGGGCACATGTAGGAAAAGCATCAATCAGGATTTAGCAACTACTGAACCAGAATCTGATGTCAATCAACTCTGATCAAAACACATCGACACGGTCCTGATGAAGGTTACCTGAGTTTATGAGCATGAAACTAACTCTTAATAATATATAATAATATCTAAAGATGTTTGGGGTTTTTTTTAGTCATGAATATTTAATGTTAGTTTGAGGATGAAGGTTTTCAGGGGCTTTAACAAAGTTTGAATTACAATGGTTTTATTTTCCTTATGGAGAGATTATCTAGAATCTTAAAGATCATATTTAATATATTTTAGTAGCCCACGTACACTTTAAGAGATATAATTAATAAGATTTTCTTGATCCAGCTAGAAATGCAAGTTTATCACAAATGATCATGCTACAATATAATAGGAGGTTACAGATTTCCTTGTGAGGAATGAGGGTGGACCAGTGGAAAGATAACCCACCTTCACTGCAATCTTGAAGGACACCTCTCTAATGGTGCTGAGGGGAGGATACAGTCTTCCCTCAGCCAGGTGCTCCTCTGTTACCATGTTAGCTATCGCCTGAGAGACAAAGACAGACAGACAAAATAAAACTGGTTTGACAGACTGAGAAAGAAAGGAAATGCAGCCCAGATGTGTGATACCTGAAGACAACCAATACCTCTGCTGTGGTGAGGAAGACATCATCAGATATGTGGCGCACTCCACAGGCTATGACACCCAAAGCAACTCCAGGGAAGACGTAGGCGTTGTTTCCCTGGCCGGGGTAGAAGGTTCGTCCATCAGCCAGTGTCACCTTGTTAAACGGACTTCCACTAGCAAAGATGCCCCGGCCCTGTTTACAGAGGGGAGGAGGAGAATATAAGTTATGTAAAAAGAAAAGTTAAAACACAAACTGTGAGTCATTTCTGCAAAGATAACAGAAAGGAATGTTTCTTTCTTGTTTGTTTGATTTCAAATAAACTGTAGAGGTTTTAGTTTTTACCACTAGAGGGCGGTGGAGCTACATTTCTGTGACTGCAGAGAGCAGTAATGCAAAACAGTAGTGGGGAGCCAACAGAGGGGCAGATTTACCCTCTGGTTACTCTGCACTATGACAAACAAAATGGTTTTGTGAATTTACTGGACAATAGCTATAGCCGATCATAAAAACAAGCCTCGAATTGTCTCATCAGTTGGCTATCATCAAGGCCTTGGGTTTCAATTTCCTGATGTGTCTGCATATAAAACTGGTGTGTAAACACTCCCCCCACTCTGGCCACATCTGCCAAATAAAAATATACAACAGCTGTATTTGTGGATCAGTTTCACATACACAGTTGGGGCAGTAGTGTGCCATGAAAGGCGGCAGTGTATCAATAAAAGTGGACGTTTGAGGCATTTTTGTTTGGTTTCAAGCAAACACACTATTGTATATTTGTGTGAGAATGTAAACAGCTGATTATTACCTCAGTGAGCTTGTAGCACTGCTCTGCTGTGCACTCCGCCTTGCTGGTAGGATTACTCAGGGCAAAGATGATTGGCCTCTCATTAAAGGAGGCCATGTCTTTGATAATCTTCTCGGTAAACGCTCCTGCTATAGCAGCCACTCCTTTGTGTTCAGGAAACAGAGCAGAGCGATAATTTACAATAGAAATTATTTCCATTTCACAAGCTATAAAGTGAACAATTAACAATTAACAATTAAAACCTCCAAAGCGTAGTTTTTTACTAAGCAAGAATGGATCCCTTTTCTACTTTTTCATTATTGTTAATAGATTTTAAAACACAGAAAATGTTAACTCAAAGCTATGATGTCATCGTATCACAGTGGTGCAACAGTTTTGATTACAAGTCTGAAATTATCTTCCACTTCATCATACATGCAATGTATGAATTTCGACCAATGAATACACTTCTCAAAGCTTTGTGAAACTCTGAGGCGTTAGATTAAATTAACCGATTGAATTAGTTGATTTACTGAGCAAAGCTGGAGGGGAAAGAATTCACCTTTAATAGGTTTCTCTGTTTTTCCACAACAGATCAGCAACTACTGTATCACAGATGGATGAAACAAGCAACGTGAGTTATGAAGGTCTTTTTATAAACACCTTTAAAAACCACAATGTCCTTTGAGGGATATTTCAGTATGTTTAGTGCAACAACGCCTCCAGGAAAACCCCACACGTGTCTCCCGACCCTGCAGGCGGACTCACCTATGATTGCGGTGGGTTTCATGGTATGTACCACCTCCTCCAGGGTCTTCAGGTGCGGGTGATCGTGAGCAAACTCCTCCTTCTCGTGGTTAAGATGGCTTCTTCCCTAAATTTGTGCAGAAAAGTCCCCCTCAAAAACTCCACATGGTGCTTTGTTACATACACTGGGGTCAATCTGTGAAGAGTGACACACACATTACCTTTACAATGAGACCTTTTGAGTCCACCATCCAGATTCTCTTGGCAGCTTCTTCTTTAGTTAGTCCCTCTTTGGCCATGGCCATTATAAGCAGGTGAGCAATACCCAGAGCAGCCTGCCAAAAAAAAGGATAATTCTCCGTCTGCACAACAGCCTCCTACCTCGGCTAGTTTTAAATGTGCCATCAGAGTTCTTACCTCTTAGGGATTAAGGAAGTTATTTTTATTTCAAAACAGAATAAAATCCTACAGAGCAAATCCTCTCACCTCGCCTGCCCCCTGGAAAACAAAGGTGTGGTCTGAGAGTTTGTTCTTGGTGATCTTCAGAGCAGCTAGGACCCCGGCAACGGCTACCGAGGCAGTGCCTGAAATAGGAAGAAATCACATGTGAGAACTGAAATCAGCAGGTTTAAACTGTATTTAGTACTTACGTAGCCGGTTTTCAATTGTTCGGCTTGGGATCTTTTAAAGTAAAGGGATGTCTACTTGTGACCACTCTTCACTGGTTGCATATCAGTTGTGACCAGTTCAACCAAAGAGTTCATTTGTTCATGAGTTATTTTCCTTGTTTTATTTGAAAACATTTTAGAGGCCTGAGGGCTGTACTACGAAGGGAGCTGTACCTATTCAGATAAAATCTCCGGGTTGTCAAACAACACTGCAATACTGGTGTTAAACGGTACAACGGCGGTGATTAAGACGTTAGCTAGTTGAGTCGGTGTCAACTTAATCTGAGGTTGTGCTGATCGCATAAAAGGGATGTGTTCAGCAGCTGGTTATATAAAGAACCCTCAAATCTGTCTTATGAGGGCCTCGACCCCCAGATCACATCTGAAACATCAGACACAGAACGAATGTCAGGTGCACACATAGTGCATTATAACAATACTGGTGATTTAAGAAGTTAAAATAATTTAGGAATATAAACATGCTAATTTATTGATCCTGTCAGTATTTGTGTTTAGAAATCTACAAGCGAATCTCTGCGGTGATCTGATGTCTTGCTGTGACTGAACTTCTTTAGTTCAGGGGTGAACGTCTCTGCAGCATTTAAGCATTAACCAAACTCCACTCTAAAGATACAAGCTCCTTGTAAAAATGTCATAACAGAATTAACTGTGTTAGTGTTTATGATCAGTCACAGGTTGCTGCTATTGTTGATGTTACTCCAAGGTTAAGGGTCACTTGTATCTGAGTGAGTAATTTATGGCTCTGGCCAAAGATGTGAAATAGGGTTCTGAGATAAATTCCTAAATATAGCATGTAAAAAAACTACAGTTATGGCCGATGGAGGCCAGGAGTCCTGTGAGCGTTTCAGTACCTTGGATGTCATCATTGAAGGTACAGTATCGATTCCTGTATTTGTTGAGGATGCGAAAGGCGTTGCTGTTGGCGAAATCCTCAAACTGTATCAGACAGTTCATCCCGTACCTGCAGGACGACAGAGCTGAACAGTCAGAACATCAGGTTCACTCACACGTTCATCTCCTCATCGGTGTTTTTACTCACTTGTCCGTCACCGCCTGCATGAACTCATCGATCAGATCATCGTACTCCTTTCCTCTGATTCTCTTGTGCTTCAGTCCGATGTACAGCGGGTCATCGAGCAGCGCCTGGACCAATAATCAATCAGTCAATCAACTTGCAATTGCCTCTCTGTTTCGGTTTTGGAACTGATAATCCGTGTGAATCGGTAAATGATTATCAAGTTGCATCAGCAATTCTCTAAATTCATCTGATATTTATTGAGTATCGACTGATAAGGGGCAGATATGAAGTGCTGCACCAGCTCCTAAAACCTTACTGCGGCTTTGTACACACCTGGTTGTCGGTGCCGACGTCCAGCAGCACGGGGAGACACTGCTGCGGCCGAACACCGCCACACGCCGTGTAGAGCGCCAGCTTCCCCACAGGAATGCCCATACCATAGCCCCCCAGGTCACCCAGGCCGAGGATGCGCTCCCCGTCCGTCACCACAATGGCCTACATGGAGAACACATACAGTATTAACGACATGTACGATACATTCATTTCTCAGGCATTAGTAGCTGTATGGGTGTTTGTGTGTGTGGAGGCACCTTGATGTCTTCTTCAGGCCAGGAGTTGAGCAAGGTGGCAATGTGGCCTCTATCATGGATGGTGATGAAGAGTCCTCTGTAAATAAGTAGGTTTCAGTTATAAGACAGCAGTATGGGTGGTAGTAGTTTCCTCCTGCAGTAGTACTACTAATACTAATGGGGGAATGATCACGACCACGCAGGCAGACGTCAGTCTAACTGTGACTTTGTAAACTAAAAAGGATTATTATTATTATTATTTTGTTTTTGAATTGTCCCTGTATCCCTCACACCTCTGTCCTCATTGTACCAACCTGTGGTTAGAAGGAGTCCATAGTGTGTAGCTGAGACACAGCCACTATGTAAACAAAAGGATATGGGTACACTTGACACTAATGTGAATTAGATAAATAATAATTCAATATGTTCTCTGTCTTTACAATCAAAAGGAAATTCAGATTAAATAAGAACAGTATTTTTTTGTTCTCTTGTGATGGATCAACTAACTCAAGCCTGTTGGAAACTGACTGAACTCTAACAGGAATGTCAGGTGTACATGAGTTGTTGTTACTGGGTAAAAACCCTGAAAAATGGTTGTTCATAAATTAAAGTTAGAGTAAATGAACCCTGCGCAGCTACAGCATAAATGTGATTAATCTCACCGTGGTCTTCTGAAGGCGAGTCCATACTGTTGGCAGGCCAGGCCGACAGTGGGAGTGTACACGATGGGCATGAACTCCTCGATGTCAGAGGTCAACAAGCGGTAGAACAACTTCTCGTTCCTGTCCTGCAGTGTCATCAGCAAGATGTACCTGAGAGAGAAAGAGACGTCAAAACCTGATATAGTATTGCCATGAAATGTAGTACAGACTTTCTTACCCGAATGATGAATTATATAATTAGAATTTTATTCATATTCAATATATTTTCATCAAGCGGCATCAACAAGTCAAAATTTAATTTGATCCAATGCTTTGGTTTATAACGACATTCCCATCAGCCTCAGTTGTGCTTGCAGACATGCTAACACGCTAAACTAAGATGATATATAGACTATATTTTTTCTTTCATTAGACAGCCTACAGACTGGACTGGAAATATGAGGAGAAAACAAGAGAGTATGAGATGGTGTGTGTTGCAGATACTTGGACGCCCCTTTGATGTGACAGTCAACACATGACAAAAACAATGGCCGCTGGTGCAGCAGCGACAGATGTGATGTGCTAAAGAACATTTGACCAAACAAGTGGGACAACCCCATCTGCAGCTGTATCAGGACAATGTTGAACAGCACTTGCTTTACTGTAAACATCTGAGTCTGTTCTCTCACTTGTCCAGAGGGTTGGTGCGCGTTTCATAGCTCTTCATGACACGCAGCACTTGAACATCCTGGGAGAGGAAGCAGGGGGGCAGCAGGCCGTGGATGCCCAGTTGTAAGCGCTCCTCCAGGGTGAATGCCATTCCCTGCAGGGTGGAAGAGGGGCAGTTATGCAACACTCTGATCCCTGAAAGAGTTTGCACAGGGTAAAGTCCACCAATGAAATAAGAAATCAGACAATCCAGACCACAGTGACTCATGTGTTAGTCATTACAGGATGGGGTTAGTTATGACTCATACCCGCGCCCAAATACAGTGGTCTCTTTGATCGTTTCTCCAAACTATGAATTAGTTGCCCTTTTTGTATGGAAACACTGGTAAACAAAAGGAGGCCACATTGAAATCCTACAACTGTTTAAATAACTGAGCAGTGAACAACTTGAGGCCATGCTTTTATTCTGGTAAGCAGTCCTTTGCCCCTCTGCCTTCTGGTTATGGTTAGTGCTGCTGCTCCTCTGTCTCGGCATTGGCCGGCTTCCCAAAGAGCGATTGGAGGGTAGTGTGAGGTTTAATCTATTTATTCTGTCCAATAGTGTGGGAGCCTGAACTCACTCCCCTGGCAGCTCGACTTCTCTTTCCTCGTCTCTGCTTTATCGCTCTCTCTGTTTCCTCTTGATTCTTGTGCGGCAGAGGAAACACTGACCTACATGGGGAACAAACCGGCCTTCTAGGGTCAGTTTGATTTTACCGTGGGTCTGTGAAGTTTTCTGAACACACCCCTTGTCCTGGTAAAACATTCCTGTGGGAGTCGAGGGTGAAATGTGAGAGTGGATTTGAGGTCTGGTTGCCAATAGTACCGTCAGCTTCCAATATTTACAGTTGTTCCACAAGCGGCATGCTTTTCCATTGAAGAGTATTTCGATGCTGACAGCTGAACAACACTGTACTGTATAGCCAGAGGTCACTAAAAGGAGATACTTTAACACACTAATGCCATCAAGAGAATGTAGATTAAAACCAGACGAGGGGAGAGAGAATGTTATTGTGCAGGGCAAACTTTAAAAAACTAATCTAACATCTTTTTAAATGCAAATGCTGATAACAAATGTGAGTGTGTGACTGTGAACAGGGACAAAGAGAAAAGTCACAGATTAACAGAGTTAATAGTGAGCGAGTAGGTAAAGAGGCACTAATGTAAACCCATTAAGCTGACACTCCTGACCAGTGACTGTAATTAAGCTAGCCTACATGCTATCTGTCAGCACACAGGCAGACAAGAATGAAACTAAGTGTGAGAGGTATAAACGGCTGTAACATTTATCTTTGTAATGACACCAATCCAAACCTTATCAGAGAGAATAAGCATCATCAAAGAGAAGAAGATTAATTTATATGGTTATGAGCTGATTTTGTTTGACATTTGAGGGTTCAATGGAGTCAGTTTTGCAGGTTGGCAGAAAGAAAGAGGTCAGGGAATAGGGACAGAAATCTGTTCTTCCTCAATAAATACAGATAATACATCAGTGTCAACCAGTATTGCACCAAAGAATGGAGCAAGCACTTTCACTGGATAGTCTAAACGTAGTAGAACAATTAAGTTTAAAAACGTAATTAATTAATTGTTTGGTTGAATAAAATGTTCAAATACACCACCGACAAGAACTTTTACTTTTTTATAAAAAGAGATTTTTTTTTTTTTTATCTAAGTAGGACCTAACTTGCTGACTGTTTCCACTGAAGTCCGCCTGTAACTGCTGACTGGGCAGAGGAAGGAGCTGTGACTGACCTCCTATCAACCTAAATCAAAGCAATAAACTCAGTTTAAGTGTCAGTATCTGTCCTGCTGCCCACATACTGTAAAACTAGCAAGTCCATGTTTACAGTGAATCTGGGGAAATAAATACAGTAAAACCACCACTGGGTCTCACTGTCAGTGCAACTGTAGTATGTTTGCAAACTGCATTTTGTTTTCTATCAAACTCAAATACAAATACAAGTAATTATTCTCTGCTTTTGCAGCGTCACACCGAAATTAATGTTTTGGGAAAAACAAACTATGAAATAGGATTATCTTAAAAAGCAAACTGGGGAGTCACTTCACATTAAGTCTATTATTCTTATGTTAAAGCTTCATTAGGACTTTTAAGCAGACAGAGGAAGAGTGGGACAGACACATTAGAGACTACTCATAGCTCCAGAGGTGGGGGTTTAACCATTCAGCTTTCTCAGATAGATAGGAGCTATGTCATTAATGTACCATGTGGTACTTAGATGGTATTCTCTGTTTCCACCATCATACAACATGGTATGCGGGGCGTCATGTTATCTGTAGACAACGTCATTTGAACACAGCACAGGCCCCCCAACGCAGAGAAAATGTTGCTTTAAGACACATTTCATATTGATGTAAAAACAAGAATGTTGAGTCTTATATTTGTTCAAGGATGCATTAATTAGTCTTAACCTATGGTAATGACATAATTAGTATTACTCTGTTAAAGCTCCTAGTGTTTTTATATATAATAGATTTATATATAGAGCACTACATTACCATCAGGTCTGTGGCAGTCTCCAGTCTTAAATACCTCTGTACATGTAGTATGTGGTCAAAACTACAGACTCATGTATGTTTAACATGCATAACATTACCCACACAATCCTCCACCAGTGTTATACTCAAGAAAGCTACTTTAAGAATATAAGGAAAATGTAGCAGAGCAGCATAGATGCTGATGGTAAATGGTAAATGGACCTGCACTTGTGTAGCCTTTCTAGTCTTCCGACCACTCAAACCACGTTTACACTACGTGTACACACATTCACACATTCACCCTTTCACATACATTCACTCAGTGATGGCAAAGTGCATCGAACAGAAACTAACATTCATACACATTCACACACCGATGCATGGCATCGGGAGAAATTTGGGGTTCAGTATCTTGCTCAAGGATGCTTCGACATGTGGCACTATCAATAACTGTGATGACATGTGCCACACATCATCTGTGAAGTCATTTATAGTACACATGTGAGGACATGATGTCAAACAACATCAAATTAATCTGTTTTGATAATCAATCAATTAATTAATTATAAAAGTGTTTTTAAGCTAAAATAACAAGAATTTGCTGGTTGTAGCATTTAAAATGTAAATATGTTCATGTTTTCTTGGTCTTTCATGATAATAAATGTAATATCTTTGGATTATGGACACACTGGATACTTGTAGTGAAGATTTGTTACAATTTGCTGACATCTTACAGACCAAAAGATTATTGATTATTTCATCAATCAGTGAATAGTTAAAATTGTCGCTGCAGTTCTAAAATGCCAAATAAAAATATCTGCTGTGTTCATATGAATCATAATGTCTTCACATGTACATCACAGGTGAGCTCACATGCTCACCTTTACCTGAAGTAGAAAGAGTGGTCTCACCTTGTTGAGGTGTGGGTTTCTGGTGATGTCGTAGCCCCTCTTCTTGGTGCTGACGCTGCCCTTGCGGTTCGTCCCGGAGTGGCAGACCCGCACAGCCCGGAGAGAGGCCGTCAGTCCCCCGGCAGGGTGACCCGGGGACCCGGCGAGCACCCTCATCCCGCCCGCTGCCGTGCGCCTGCACAGAGACAGGGCGGCTCTTCCTGAGAGGGAGTTCATGCTGCCTGCAGACAACCAGACAGCAAAAACACAACACAAGTCACCTTCCAGAGCAAAAGGGAAACGACCTACAACCGGACATACCGAGAATAACAACCCAGTGTTAATGATACTCAGAGGGTCCTCCTGTAAACAAGCTGCTCAAACAGCAACCGTTAACGTTATCTTAACGGTAAACAACAGGTGATACAGCTCTGTGAATACATTATGACGTTAAATACATACATAAATATAATGATAGTTTATAAATGACACAGCCGATGTGTTCACTGTATTTATGTGAAACTGCTGCTGTGAGTCTCCGCACCAGCTCAGCTAGCTACTGTTAGCTGTGCGCTGCTTTTATGATAATTAGTGTTTTTCTTTATGGGACAATCTGCGCAGCTGCTAATGCTAACTAGCGGGTAGCTAATATTCAGTCAGCCTTACCGTAAAACAAAAAAGCGACGTGAAGCTGCCGGTGTGTTGTTTACCCTGTGCTCCTGTTAACGATGGCTGCTATCAGTGGATGTTGGGGAGGACCGACAGCTGATCATCCAGGATCCTTCAAACATTGACAGTTTCACTTCCCCCAGTCGGTCGGTCAGCCTCTCCGGAGCACCGCAGCCACCAATCAGACAGCAGCATGGCGGGTTCAGAGGAGGTCCGGGTCCCTCCTCCTCCTCCCTCCTCCTCCGGGTCCCTCCTCCTCCTCCCTCCTCCTCCTCCTCCCTCCTCCTCCTCCTGTGATTCAGTAAACACACAGGCTCCATCTTCAGCTTCAACATCTGCTCTCAAATCACAGTTCTCCTTTTGTTGAACGGATCTCATACTGTCACATAACTTGAAATTGTGCTGTTAATATTACTGCATTGGTAATACTATATATAATATTTATATTTAATGGCTTAATGTGGTTTAAATGGTTTCATAAAATCCACATCTGTACAAAAAAACCCAGAATAGCTGACGTTTTTAAACTCTTAGTCATGCACTGTCACAAACACCACTGAAGTCAAATCACACTGTACACTTCAGGTCAGATGAGCTCCCTCTGGTCCCCCCTGCTGGACACACCGGTGTCAGACAGACTGTAGTGACACTTGATTGTTGTGGTGCAGTAATTCCCGGTTCAACCTGTTTTTTAGCCTGGGGCAGATTGTAGCTGCTGGCCCTCCTGTTGCCTCCCAGATCTTATCAAGTACAGTGCATGCAGCACACCATGAAGGGCAGCTTCACTGTATTTCTGCACAGAGCCACAGGAATATTACAGAAATACTGAATACGAAATTAAACAATAAGCACCACAAACTACAAACAGCAAAATGACCATAAAGATCAAAACATATTTCTAAAAGGATTCCAACAAAAACTAAACATAATAACTTTTGTGAATGTAGATTTATAACAAGATTGTTGTTATTAGACTGCATTAGTTTTAGTTGGATATATTCTGTTAAACTGGCCACTGATATTGATCCTCCTACACTCCTATACTTTACCAAATATACAAAACAATCAAGCTCAGTCATTATTTTAATATACTATTAGCTTAATTTATGTACATGAAACATTTAAAATAAGTCAAACATGATTAATATATTGATTGATCTATATTGAGTACACCTTTCCCTATTGATCAAGGCCTTGTTCGTATCGTCCTATTTTATATCAGATTATTATTTAAAGTCTTGGATTTTATGGACTCACAGCTCGTAATACGTCACCTCATATTGTTTCAAATGGAAATTATAAACTAATTATGGTTTATAAACTACATTTGGACATTAGGCTCCTTTACAAGACAGTGCCACAAGTTACCCCTGGAAGTCTGTGGCCTCAGGACGGTGCCACTTTGCCCAGTTGTACAAATAGCGTCAGATCTTATATGTAATGTATAAGTACTAAAATTATTCACTTCACATTAGTTGTATCTAAAAAGGTTTATTTAAAAAGTACAAATTTAATCACAATACATCTCTACTCATGTTTGTAACAAAAACAAACATTAATGAAAATCACAATTCTATGTTGGTGAGTTCATCCAATAATAAAATCTTCTGTCGACTAACTCCGTCCATCTTCTAACACATGTATCATACTTTTTATTGCTCTTACTGTCTAACAGTGTCACTTCAGATAAAGATAAAAGATAAAAAAAACAGTTCAAAAAGTAAAAGAAATTATGCAAAAATAAGAAATTATTTAAAAAAACAACACTCATAACATGTTCACAATGATAAATCTAAATAACCCACAAAATATCTCAATATCCAACAATCTTCTTGTTAAACATTTACTTCATAAACATCAGTAAGGATTATTTTATCCATCACCAGAAGGAAATCACACACATACAAAGTACATCATTGAACACAAGCTCACACTCATTACATCGTCTAAATAACAAGAGGCTTTATAAAACTGCATGTGATCTGCAGTTTATAGACTCAACAGCTTTACTTCATATATAAAAATCATATTTCGTTACATTACAAATTACAAACAGTGCAAACAGAGTAAAGGTATACAGTACATTTTGTACATTTTAAGGACTCGCTATCAAACATCTTTGTACGCTGATTGAACAGATGAATGTTCCTACTGTCGGTCTTCATCGGCACCGTTCTGCAAACATTCAGGAAAAGGTGAAAAAAGATAGAAATGCTTCAGATGACTACGCTGGTGCTGCTACGGGAACTTCTATCCTAAGAGAGAAAAGTGACGGAGGTGAGGTTAAGTTAAAGAGGAAGATGTGACGATTCACAATATACCGAAGAACGGATCAAAAAGTGATGAAAGCAGTCAATAAGAGAGTAACGCTAGCAGCTCTGTGAAGCTCTACTTTAACATGCTCACAATGACAATGTTTAATGTTGACCATGTTTACTATTGTAGTTTAGCATGTTAACATTTTCTAATTAGCACTAAACACAAAGTACAGTTGAGGCTGATTAGTGACATTAAAATTTTGATGCAAGCAAACCAGCAAGCAACCATTTTGACATGAAATAATAGGGTAAACACAGGTGTTAACAATGATACGTATAAAGGTTTAACTCCATTTAGTGTAGCAGAGCCTTTCCAGTGAGCCAACAAGCTCAACAGCAGCACCCTGACTCTGTTTGACCTGAATGGAACGGAGTCTTAATTACTATCATTGGTATCAGCTGTGTTTACCCTACTATTTCATGTCAAAATGGCTGCTGTGAAAAAGGTCTATTCATCCTCCAATGATCATGAACCAAATTTCATATCAAACCATCAAATACTTTCACTAAAAACCAGAAAGATGAACGTCATGATGGCGCTAGAACAAAAGTCAGGGGATCATCAAAGTCAAAGCAATTCATCGACTTGGAACCATGAATGTTTCTACGACATGTTTTCATTTAACAATATTTTATTGCCTTTTAATTGACAGTGACAGCTGACGAGTGACAGGAAAGGGGGAGAGAGAGAGAGAGAGAGAGAGAGAGAGAGAGAGAGAGAGAGAGAGAGAGAGAGAGAGATGAAAGTGATGAAAGAAAGAAGTCAAGGCTAAACAAAAAAAGGACAGTGGCAAAAAGAGAGGGATTTTCATAAGACCATTGGTTGAGGGTGTGTGTCAGTATTTGTGTGAGGTCTTACAGAAAGGGGGTTGTAGTTCCTCCGGCCGTTACTGTGTTCAGTCTGGTTCTCTATGGAGAAGTAGCTGGGGGGCTTCTCTGGCCAATCCTTCCCTTTACCACTTTTTCTTCCCCTGCTGTCCTCTTCATCTGAGCTCCAGGATCCTTTGCGACGCTGAGGAGGTGAATAGCTCCTCTCTCTCCGAGCTGCTCTGCTGTGCAGCTCCTCCATCAGGTCGTCGCGGCTGTGAGTACGCCGCCTGGATCCAGCTCCGCTCCTCCTGGCCGAGCCTCCTCGCTCGTTCCTTGAACCCCTGTGTGACACTCTTCCTCGTCTGTTCTCCCAGTCGGAGTCATCGCTGTAATCCCGCAGGATCCCCCGTCTGGGTGGAGAGACGTCTCTATAGCCACGACTGTTGCGGGGGAGACCTCCTCCAGAGTGGTTTGCGCTCCCACTGGACTGGCTGGATAACCTCTGACCACCTCTGGGTCCATCTCCTGCTGCAGGCCCCCTGCGTGAGGAAAAACTGGGGACACGCTGGATAATAGGAGGCAGGGTTATCACCCTTCTCTCCACCCCTTTCACCCCCATCTCATCCAGGGCTGACAACATACTCGGTGGCCCGGGTGTGTAGGGCACTGCAGGAGGACCTGGCTGGAACTGAGGCTGTAATTGAGGCCTGTTTTGGACAGCGTAATGAGCCATTTGAGGCGCCGCCATATCCATCCCCCTCACTTGGTTCTCCAGGTAGTCCAACACCTGGCCGGTACCATGAGTGCTGCCCCGCATGCTGCCGTTTACATGGTGTGGATGAGGAGGGGGCTGCTGCTGTAGGGCCATGGGTGACAGCTGCATGGGAGCCATGGCAAAGTTTTGTTTGACCGGGTAGTCCGCGTAGGAGCCTGGAACAAGAGTTTAAAAAAAAAAAAAAAGATGTGAAAAACCTACAACTGACTTTTGGCCACTTGGGGGCAGCAGAAACAAACTGCAGAGACAAAGTCTTCAACATCTTCATCTTAAATATGTAGAACTTAAGCAAAAAAGCTTAATATGGTATTCACACATCCAGAAGAGAAGGAGAAACATTATCATTCATTTCAATTTATCTCCAATACTTTTACAGTTTGATTTACTGACTTAATTCCTTTTAACAGGATCTTTAATGTCCAACTGCCAAAATCCAGATGGATTCAAAAAGGAGCAGTGTTTATAAACTTATACCCTGAGTTTTGTCTCTCAGGCTACACACTTACTAATGTAGATTATGGGGGCCATATGATATGATAAATTAAACTTGACTAAAACTAAAAAACTAAAACTAAACTAAAACTACTAAACTACTAAAGTGGAAATTAAATATAAATAGTGCAAAAGGCTTGTGCGTTGTAGGTAGGAGTTTTAAACCAGTCTTTGTCTGCAGGGGTTGGAGGAACTGGGAGCTGTGGCGTTGTGGAGTCTGATGGCTCATGGTACAAACAAGCCTCCAAACCGCTTCGAGGCTCAGGGCTGGGTCAGTCTGTGGCTGAACGTGCTCCTGAGCTGCCTGAGCTCAGTGTAGAGAGGATGAGAGGGCTTGTCCATGATGGCTTTCAGCTTCCCTCTCATCCTCTTTTCAGTCACAGCCTCCACACTGTCCAGCTCCATCCCCACCACCGAGCTGGCCTTCCTCACCAGCTTGCTAAGCTTGTTGGCACCCCCATCCTAACAGGAAGATCTGCACACCACTTATGCTGAACCAGTGACTGTGACCTTATCTGTATGTTTTCTTTGTTACTTAATATTTTAATTAGCACTTAATATTATCCTTAATGTCAATCAATCAGTATTAAGACAGTAAAGGACAGTGCTTTTTTTTTTAAAGTAAAGATTCAAATATAGAAACATATGCCTATGAAACTAAATTTGAAGTATGGTTAATGCTTTAATAGCTTAATATGACCATTTTTATATTTTTCTTGGAATAAATATAAACTACAGAAAATATATATACAAACATATAGTTTCAGGTTATCTGTTTTATTTCATTGTGTCCTCCACTTGTTGATCCAAACCAAACATACGCCCTTGAGTCTGGGCGAGAGTGATGCAACCAAGCATTCAATAAAGCATCAAAGATAAGTCTTTTGTGCCACTCACCTGAATACAGTATGGGAACACCCTGGGAGGAGACATTGGAGCTAATGGGAGCGTAAATGGGTTGACCATTCACCCAAGGAGCCATCGCCTTCTGAGCGTCTCGCAGCATCCGGTGCTGCATCACAGCTGAAATCAGAGCAAAGATGGACTCAGAGGTTTGTGTGTATTCGGTATGAACAGATCCCTTCAGTTGAGGCATCGCAACAGGTAGCGCAGGAGACTAACTTGGATTGGGGCTGTAACATGTGATGTAGTTTATGGTTTCATAAAGAGTATCAACCTTTTTCCGGGCAGCAACATGTCTGTGGACAACACGGGCAACGAACGTAGCAGCAGCACTTCTGCGGGCAGCACTGACAGCAACAGATGCAGAAGAGCATGATGAGCAGGAGAGCACCGAGGATGATTAACAGGACTGTCAGCCAGTCTGAAACAAGGAAGAAGACACATCATTACTCATATTTCAAAACTTCAAAAAAGAAAGTCTTTTTGGGCTCTATGTGACCTTGTTGTACCACAACCTGAGGAGAGGAAACTTACGGTACACGATGAGTTTGACTTCACGATCTGAGTCCCCTGTCGTGTCACCAGCAGCATCAATGGTGCAGAAATAAACTCCGTTATCCCACCACATCACCTCAGTGATGACCAGGTCAGCCTCTGTTGAGGGGTAACATTACATTAGCATTACTTAAAAATAAGATCAGACAAATATTATTTAAGCAAAAAAAAGTTCAAGACAAAAGCATTTGAATATTTTGTTTTAGTTTATTTTCTTTGCTCTATATATACTGTGTGTTTGCTAGTGTCTCACTTCAGGCAATATAACTTCTCCAGTTATATAAAGTAAAGCACTGAAAATACTTTTTGTTAACATATCAGTACCTTCACACCTCCATCTTAACCAATTAGCAAAAGTATATGAACTTTACCTCATTTCTGTGTTAATATATGCAGCCTGTAAGACATCTCCAAATTAGATCACGAACCAGTGGAGTGAGTATGATTGTGAGTCATTATGATGGGATCAAACTCACTGTTTTGAATGGTAATTTTGCGTTCTCTGTAGTCTGCACCCAGGATGGGCTCATTAATGCCCCTCTTCTGGATCACAGTGCGGACTGTGCGCTGGCGGTCCGGGCAATCATTGGAGGGGTCCTGACCCAGCTGCAGAGCGGCCTGATAGCCTTCAGAAACAGAAGAAAATAGGATAAAAAGTGTTGAATTTATGAAATATTCTTTTTCTTCTTGATCAGTGTACCTCATACCACGTAAACCTTCATGACTGTGGCACTCTGACTAATTTTTCTTTGTGAATAATAACCAGCTTTTCAGTTTGCCAACATGCTGCCAGCAGGATAATGAAGCTTAAGTCACTGAATAATAATTTGAGAGCCATTAGCCAATAAAATATAAACCGCACTAACGTACCAGGACCAGGCTTAATGACGCTATTATAACATATTTTTAACATATTTTAATGTGATATTACAAAATACTGCTATATTAAGGCGAGGGTGCTGCTCTTTACCATGACAGGTGGTTATTATAATACAGTACAAATATTTTCTCTGTATTATTTAAGACAAAAATTTTGTCTTTCTGCTGTTTTCTTGCACTTTTTACTTTTACAAATAAACTTTTACAGTTTATGACTCCAAAAACTGCATTATTGATAAAACAAACAAATCCTAAAATCTCTCTTGCTGTTTAGAGTTTGTAAGTTAGATGCAAGCATGCATGCATTTAAGATACTCAAATGCATGTATTTCTTCCTCCTGCTTGTTTAAACCTTTTAGGGCTTTAAAATGTATCAATGTAAGGTGTCAACACAATAAACAATTGTACATGCTGTGAGCATTAGATTGGGACGTCTGTATCATGTCTGTGTGTGCTGGAAAATAGGAAATTAAAGTTCAGTTCAAATTCAGTTTTTGGAATGTAAAACATTAAAATCAGCAAGATCATTTCTATAATTTTACTAATATTTCTATATGGTCAACTGCAGTTTGTTTTTTTGGTGCATTGTGGTGTAACAAATGAAAAGCCAGTCTTTCTGGGACTATCTCTGTTTGAAAATGTACAATCAAATGTAAACATTGCTCAAAGCTGAAAGAATATGAAGAAGAAGGTCATGGGTTAAAACTGAATAAAGCTCCAGTTTTTTGACAGCTGAGCACATAAAGTTATCTCAGTGACTGTTCAACCACCCAAAAGGCCCTCAACTGTGAACTGCACCAGCTGTAATCAATCAACATCCCAGTACGCCATGCAAAACAACAACACAACTGCAGTATCATGTTATCACTTTATACCTATCAAATGTCAAAATACATCTGACTAAATTTCAAACTGTGAAAACTGTTTCACTTTTTATTGACATATTCTCAGAAATCATTGTTGTCTGAACCCACAGGAACCAAACAAATGTTGGTTTGTGTCGACTGACCGCACCTGACAATAACCTCGGTCAAACAGCCTGTTCCCAAAAGCTGCCTGCATTATGTTCTGTAGCAAAACATTTTTAAGTAAAAAAAACACAACCTGTCTCGTACAGTGTTACAGTGTAGTGAAAAGCTAAATCAGTTTTAACTAACGGCTGAGTGCCTGAACATAACCATAAAAAAAAGCACTAATCATACTTTCAGTTGCTTCAATCAGATATTGTATCACAAAAGCAGATATTATGGGGAAAACAGCTGAAATGAAGGTCTGTGAACATTTTGTGACGGTTATGTTCATTAAAACGTTTCCTTATTATGTTGATTTAAAAAATTACATCTCTGTTAAAGCATATTTGCAATTGCAAATTAGTGTTATAATACAGTGAGAACAATGTAAGAAAACCAAACATCCACTCACAAAGTCAATTAAACACAATAATTGTTATCAGTTATTCTTCTACTATGACAATATAAAGAAATCAGAGAAGAAGAAGTTGTTCACCATCTCTGTTTTTATGTACGCCACTATTCTTCCAGCACATGCTTTAGTTCAGCTACATTATTGCACATTAAAACCATGCTCTCCTTCCAGCTGCAGCCTCACCTGTGGAGTAGAACTCCAGCACTGGGTCTTTACAGAAGGACTTGTACCTCCAGGTGACCAGGACATCCTGAGGGTTGGCTGACGTTGAGTAGTCACAGCGCAGAATGACGGAGGCAAACAGAGTCGTCCTCCTCTCTGTCTCTGGAACAATCACCTGGATGGACAGCAGCTCTGATACAAACGGAAAGGATGAGGAAGAAATGAGATTGAAGATAAAATGTAAAACAGCAGCACGCATTGGCACATTATTCAAATTATAACTTTACTTATAACTTGACCAAAAAAACCTCTTCAGTGCAGTGTGTTTGCTCTTGGATGCTGGATTGATAAGAATCTGACCAGACTGGTTAACAGTTTTCTCCAGAAGTCTTTGAGAGTGCACTATATCATTAGAAGCAATAACAGCTGTCGGTCATGATCAGCGATGCAGAAAACAAGCTGATGACAGACAACCTCTGCTAACTGAGAACAGTATCAGTTCAGTTCATTTAGGGTCAAAGTTTCTCTTTGAATATGAAGTCCAAAACCCTGATTGTGATGTTTGTCAGTAACCGTCTGACAAGTGTTCACAGTACATTTATGTCCAAAAATAAAATGACAGCAGCTTAAAATTGTTTTGATTTATCTGCCAGTTATTCTCTTAAAAAACTGATGGTTTGATCCTTAAATGTCACAAAAGAGGAAACAATCATTAATTATTATTATTATTATTATTTTATCTTAACAGTCCCTGACAGAAGACGTTTGAACCAGTGAATTTTGGGGAGTTTTGCTTTTAAAGTGACCATTTGGGTTACAGTATTAATCTTCTGTTAAACAATTAATTGATTAATCAAATCATTACTCTCCAAGTCACATCCTAAAGTCCTGACATCATGATCAGATGTATATGTGTAGCCCAGCAGTGTGTATTTTAGTTAAGAAACAACAACCAAGTTTGTGATATGCGCGATAATTTAATGAAGGTCTATATTTATTTTACTTAATGATTTTATCTTTATTGATAGTTTGCTAATGTGGCTGTTATGGTATATTTTCCAAGTAATTGATTAATCGTTCATTCAACAAAATGCCAAGTACGCTACTCAAGATTACATAATCCAATTTTTATACTTATTTTAAGTTAAATTACAATGTAACGCAGCAAATCCAAGTACCAGAAATGTTTGTTTTTGCTTGATAATTGATTTTAATTATTAATTAATTTTCGACGAATCGTTTCAGCTCTAAACCAGATTATACTTGAAATAAAACCTGGGACCATATTCTATGAACCATATATGACCAATATGGCACTGTCACCAAATAATATTAGAAAACTGACCTGCAGGTTTTCTTACAAAAATACATAATTTTCCACACAAAAAAAATACTATTAAATTGTTTCCACGGCTTTAGAAGTGGATAAAAATACTTAAACAGTAAAATGTTACCCTTTTTCATTGTTCACAGACATTGTAAAACTAACTAACTCAGTATTCAGTGAGACAATTAGTCGATTAATTGATCTGTCTAATGCCAATTTGCAGGTTTCAGCCTCTCAAATATAAACATTTATTGCTTTTCTGGTCTGGATAGTATTTGGACTTATAACTGTAATTTTGAAAAGTTCACACAGAACCATAAATTATTAAATTAATCAAAGTATTGTGCAGATTAAGGTAGCAACTATTATTATGATTATCAATTATTCTATTTATTATTTTTCTGTCAACTGAATGAAAATTAACCTGCAACTCCTAAATGTGAACAAATCCTGATTTTCTTTGTATAAACATTAAAGTGAAAGTAAAATAAAGTGAGTCTTTGGGTTTTGGACAAAAAGAGACATTTAATGATATCAGTCTGTGCTCTTGGTTTATAAACCATATAGATCCTATAGGATATAAAACAGAAAGAAGCAGCTTTAATTGCTTCATAAACTAGTTCAAATTTCTTTCAGTTATACAAAATAATGTTTATTATTATTATTATAATTAACTTTCTGTTAGCTTTCCGTTTTCAACTGGTCGATTAATTGCCATTGCTAGTTAATAAAAATAATATTTACAGCACAACTCTGATGTCTTGTTTTCTACGGAGGTTTGATCTAATAACGAACTATAATGTTATATTGATTGATTTAATATTGTATTCTCCAGTTTCCACAGTTAGGTCGCTTTAATGTTAGAAAAAAAAACTACCTATAGCGTGAAGTCACGTGACAATAGTCGGCCTTGTCCTGTTTACACCTGTCGATAATTAACCTGTAGGCTACACATCCTCCTGGTAGTTTCGACTGTTTGCTTGATTGGATTCACTTTAAATTCCTGCTATAAACATAAAAACCAGATGACATTAGTATAAAGTACAAACATCAGGCAACAGAGTGTGTTTACTGTGAGGCCTTTAAAGCCTCACCTGTCGGCAGGTGAACCAGCAGCAGCGCCATCAGTATCATATTTCCCATCTCGTTGCTCTATATCCTTCCGCGGAAGCTTCAGTCTCTCTATCCTGTAGGAGATTCAAAATCCACCCAAAATCCGGAATATTCGTAGAGAAACGGGACGCGGCCGCTGCTCTGCATAGTAATCCCACTGCTCTCTTAAAACGACATGTTGGTCCGGACCTGTTGATCTTCTGAGGGGAAGAGACGAGTGTTTACAGCCGCGCTGAGGAGCAACTTTCCCACAGAGAGTCGGTGTTGTCGGTGTTGTCTGAGGCGGATCGTTTCCCCCCCCCTCCCTGCAGCTTCAGGTGACATCACTGACCCCGCCTCCTCTGACAGGTGCAACAAGGAAGAATAGCACGAGGGGCAAAATGTCCTAAAGAGAGCAACAGACGGGTGTTTCCTCCAGTTATCAATTCCTGCTTCATCTGTCATTTTATCAGATAACTTTCTAACTTAATATACACATGACCTTAAATTTAACTCCTATTATCACATTCATTTGTCATCTTCTGTACAGTTGGAGATAGATCTTATTAATATATCTGAAATGTAATTCTCAGCTGTATGGATTGTCATTGAAAAACACTTTATAATGCAAATAAATTACACATTACTTATAAACTCACAGTGTGAGTGAAATGAACTGGTGTCATATTAATTCATTTTGTCAAAATTCAATATGAGTCAAAAAAACATGTATGGCCTAAATGTGTTTGTGTACACACACACACACACACACACACACACATATATATATATGTATAGCCCAAGACCATAGTAAGGCTGATGCATACTGTGTATTGATAACTGTATAATCAAACAATCCATAGAAAGTGGGACAAGGATATCTTAGGGCTAAACACTGAGTTATTGTGAGAGAATTAATTGGACACAATTAAATATGTTGAACATACAAATTAGTAATTTCAGGACATTTAATAATTTCATAATTTTATATCCTTCCCAAGATCCATTTCTTTAGACTTTTTATTAGCAAAAATTAATTTATGAACTAGTACATGTTCCGTCCATTTGAATGCTGTTTACATGACAAATGAATACATTATTTATGTAAATGATAACATCCAGTCCATTAAGTCCACACTAGTGTTAAAAGAAACAGCATAATGTGAATAGATGGACTGAAGTAGACGCAGGTTAGCTCGTCGATTCATTTATTCGTTTATGACAAACAACCCGAGTCTAAAGTTCACTCTGAGGATGAGTCATGTTGGAGGAGTGTTGGAGCTCTTTGTGCGATGATGTTTGCATCTCTTATCCAGGACATGGACCCCAGCGGGCTTTACTGTTGACACAAAACAAGCCCGCCTGAGCTGAACTCAAGTGCTGCTCTCAGCTCACTGAAGTGTGCTTGAAATCCAGTGAAAAATGCTGCATAGATGGAAAGCTTTGCCATCGCATCTGTCTGGTTCCACTCTGAACCTCAAAACATGCCAGTTTTTAAATTCCTTCCTTGTCAGTATCTGGAGAGGACACACAGTACCTTTCATTTTCTCTATCTACTGAGTACAAAATATTTACTCTGCAATTTGTGGGCTGTGTTATAAAATGTTACCAAATGTTCTTTTGTTTTGTTTCTATCAACATTTTAGTCTCATTTTGCTCTAAATAAACAGCGGTAACGTGCAGGGGTGGGGCAAGAGTGGCAGGAGAAACACAAAACAACTACAAAGAGACACAAAACAACTACAAAAACATAAAACAACAACAAAAAGACACAAAACAACTACAAACACAAAACAACTACAAACACAAAACAGCTACAAAAACACACAAAACAACTACAAATAATTTAAAAATGATGACAAAGGGATGCAAAACAACTATAAAGAGACACAAAATATGTAGAAACATGTAATTCTTCTCCAAATATATTGAGGTTATGATGTTCCATTTACACAGTAAAATACTTTATATAAACATTTTAAAGGTGCACACTTGCTTTATATGATAAAGTGTGCTGATTTACATTGTCAATAAACCTCTAGTGTTTATTTAGTTGTGTGTATTTGATAAGCTACGATAAAAAACACAGGCTTCATCCAAGGTACGCACGCTTTATCACACGTATTATTAACACAATGACCACTTAAACATAAGATTTTGTGGCTGACAAAAGATATTTTATATCAAAACAAACCATTTCAAAACAATAAAAAAGCTAAATAAATGCAATCACAAAGACCAGTTTGTGTCATGTGTTTAGATCAAAATCACACTGAAATAAAACTTTATCCTCCCAAAAGAAGAAGATGATATACTGACTCTAAGGACTTAACATAAATTACACAATTACATCTACTGATCAAATTATCTATGTTGTTTAGATGACAAACACATCACAAAGCTTAAAAGGGTGCAGTCACATAATTCAAACATATCCTCAGAATATTGCTATATTAATCATTTACTGAGTGGAAGTATGAAGAAACACATCCACTGAGATGTCAGTGTCAGTAAGTGTTATTTAATTTGGCACACTTGAGTTAAATCAGGAAACGTCTCCATATAAACCTCCTTGGTCACACGCTGAATATTACCTGATAAAGACACAACATCAGAACATCAAAGCTGCACTAAATATTTTATTAGACCTTATATTCAGTGTGTGGACACATTTTTTTCCAAAGCACCTGCACTAATACTGGGATGTGCATAATGCTGTTTGTGGGTGAGTAATGTGCTGGAAACTTACTTTGACATGTTCTAAAATAATATTTGATCCCCTTAAATAAAGTACTGTGACACAGAGGTCTGCTCAGCAACATGATTAATACAGATGTTTTTATTAAGTTTGTGCAGATGGTGATGGTGATAAACTGCTTCTGTATAAATATCATGTGTCTTATTTCCTCCTCCATAGATCCATATTATTTATTTATTTATTTTTATAAACATTTTCTATTTCCAGCTTCTCATTTGTGATGTTTTGCTGCTTTTCTTTGTTTTATGTGAACTAAATATCTTTCAGTTTAAACTGTTGGTTGGACACTTGAAAATGGCTAATTCTCACTATTCTCTCACTTTTACAGACCAAATGATGAATTGATTGGTTGAGACAATACTCGCCAGATTAATTTATAATAAAAACAATCACAAACTGAAGTCCTAACTATGTGTATTCCTCCAGAGGATGAAAATACATTCATATAGGAGAGCAAAGACTTAAGAGTTTTCTTTATTTAAAAAGTATTCAAGCAGTGCAATTACAACAAATTCAAGGTACAGTACTTACATACAGTACAATATCAACAACAGACAAACACACAAATACAAAGTGAACCTGAGTCGCAGTGTACTGAGTGAGAAGTATAAAGTCTGTAGGAAAATATAAGACAGTGGCGTCCTGCTTAGTGTCACAAGACCTTTTGAAATTGGCAGATAATAATAACAATAATAAAAAAAACACCTTGGCACTGGTTTAATTCAATCCAGTCACTCAACTCATCAAACTCAACAAATAAAACTGATCCACACACCTCATACGTAACATCTTTAGACTACACATGCATAAATAACCCAGGCATAATTCACGCACATGAGGAAAAATGTCCTGTGTTAATGGAAACGAATGCACATAATGCTCCGTGCACATTCATTTCTCTTCCATCCGCTACTGCTGCTTTTGCAGGTGCAGTTATTTCAGTGAGATGAGTCAGACTTCGTGCTGCTGGTGGCAGAACGGTTAGCCTCTCCTGCATGGCAACAGGACGGGTTAAATGAACGGATTGGCGGGTCGGGGCTGGGAAACCTTGTCACACTATGAGAGAGTCCCTGCTCAGTGCAGTGCTCTGTTAAAGAAATACACCAACAGCCACATGTTAGAGACTCTGTGTTCATGCTCATGCAAGGTTAGTCCAGCCTCTGCGTGGTAGTAGTAATGACTGCGTGAATGTGATACTGATTCCACATTTGGTGAGCCAGTTAATAAGCATTTGTAACACTGTGATGGTTGCAAGCGTGGCCAGGTTATACAGTACATATTTGAGTTAAATCATAAATGTAATTTGTAACAGCTTTTACTCTTTGTAAATGTAGCCTAGATAAAAAAAAAAAAATTATAATGATTCAATGTTAAGACCATAAATCTTGTATGTACATTGCACGAGAGACAATCATATTATGTACATAATACTGTAAAACATTTTCAGATGTATAAGTACAAAGCTGACTTTATTCTGTATTATTCTTATTATTATTATAACAAATCCCATGAAAATCTCAAAACCAATAACCTATATCAATAATACTTTCTTATTTGTTCCTACTGAAGACATACAGCTTTAAAAACATGTACAAATATTTAGTTTGCAAGTTTTTTCGTCATTTTTGGGGCATTTTCTTTAATATTCTGACACTAATCTGATGGATGAAGAAGGGGTGACATTCAACAAAGGTCCCACCTGGACTCTGGGGACATTGTAATTACACAGTCAGTCTTTTTTTGGTCATGTAATGTCCCAAACAGTAACAACAACAACAATATACTGACGTTTAGCTAAAGCAAGTCATCAGTTCACAAGGTAACCAGTGTATCGTCACCACTTTTCAGCATTCACTACTACACAAGTGTTCCTGAGAGTTCTTATTTAGTAAGTAAACACAATGAAATACAGATGAAGTTTAGTTTTTAGTTAAGTTTAGTTTTTAAGCCCATTTTCTCTCTCTCTGCCCTTCCTATCCTCCAGTTTAAAGGAGTTTTACTGGCATGAGAAACAGCTGCAAAGTAAGTGTAAACTATACATATATAAAGATTAATAAAAAAAGAAGTCTGTCTCTCTGTCATTACCTGGTTTAGGTGTCTATCTGTGTGAACTGAACTGAACTAAAACTTGAAACTAACTAATGGGAGACCCCTACACTCTTGTCTGCTAGTGCAGCAGTGTGACTCACTGATGTGTGTTTAATAGTTTGTGGACCATAATGAAGTTTTATAGGACAGAGGAATAGGCTTCATCAGACTTCATCCTCATCAGTTTTGGATCTTTCATGGGATTTGTTGACAATAAGAAACAATATAGAACATAGACCTGTAACTCTTTACAGGATTTAAAGGCTCTTCCCTGAAGAGCTGAAGAGGAAGGAAGTCCAAGTTCCTGCTACAAGTAACTCACCAGGTTTCGGCTCCTATCTCTCTCCTCTCTGCCCCCCTGCATTGTGTGGGACATCCCCTGCTGGGGGCGGGTGTAACAGAAAGGCCTCGTGGCTGGTTCAGTGGTCCTGTATCGCTCTGATCTGGGAGGCTCCACAGTCC